AAATGCTACTATTTTTATGGTTGGAATGAAATTGTATTTGATTATAAAACAGAATAATATTTGGTTTAACAAATTATATATATATATATATATATATATATATATATATATAATTTGTTTATGCATTCCAAATTATTTAATAATTTTATCATTTTTGGAAAAAAATTGTACAAAACTATATGGCATTCAAATTTTTGATGAAAACAGCAAGATCGGAAATATTATGTTTTGTCCTTTTTCATCACACATACTTTAGAGGGGCGAATTGGGATAAAATTTTCTTATTTAACAATTGTGTGTGCACGCAGAACTTATGAAATAACTAGAACTGAACCCAGTTTTTAATTATTATTTTAACTTTAAGAAATTTCAGTTATTAATATAAATTTCTTATTTTTCCCATCCTCGAAGTCGGCTTAAGGTGCAAACCGACAAATACACCGATAGCACAACTAGAAGACACGACACATAAAAATCTTAACTTTGTATCAAAATCAATAACATCAAGATTGATAATAAATTTTTTTGTAATACATTTTTTTTAAAAAACTTTTATGTAAATGATATTGCTTAATTTTGGTGTAGTATTTGGTATTTTATAACTAACAACAAACATCGTATTATTGGTTTGATAAGTTAAGGTCGGGCCTGGTCAAAATGACCTTATAAAAGGATTATGTAATTTTTGAATATTCAGTTGCGATCATTCTGCAATGGACTTCCAGTAAAGCAAGTGTAGTGTGAGGAAGTGTTTAGAAGTTTTGGAGGTTTTTATTGTAAAGTATTTTCTATTTTAATGAAATAATGATTTAGTGATTTAAAGTGATTAGTATAAAGTCATAGCGGTTCACGAACCATACAAAGTGATAATTTTAATAACAATTTAATATATGCAATTAGTAGAAGTAGCATTTATAAAGTGTTCTATATCAGTTGGTTAAAGTGTTAGTTGTTAAAGTTAAATGTTTTTAATTTAAGTATGACAAACTTTTAAAGACAATCGAAGGTTTTATAATATATATATATATATATATATATATATATATATATTTCTTTTTCTGAAGATAGTCTTTTTGAACAAGCCCGGCATGCAAAGTAAGTACTTGGGAAATATCTGTATTATTCATATTATTGTTAAAAATCTATTTCGAAAAGAGATGCGGTAGTATTTTCAAGAATTTAGAAATTGTATTAAAAAATTATCGGTTTTAAGCAAGTAATTCAGTAAAACATTACAATTATAAAAAACATGTCTTGTATAAAATTGGTGTGTTTACATAACCGATGCCATCATTTCAACGGCAAACATTTGTCCATGATTTGCGTGTGATCGAGTTAAATCATTTAATTATTATGTATTTAATTATTATGTATGCATAAAAAACGTCTTATCTTGAATTGCATTTGATTGATTATAAATTCACTGATATCTTTAACAAATTAACTCATATTATTCCATTAAATTGAGGTAAAAAGTAGCATGATTCAAATCATCTTTTGATAACAATTTTTTCTAAGTTTTCTTTATATATTCTTTAGAAAAAAACATTTAGTATTCATATTATATAATGTGACAAAATATCATCTATGAGTAATAACATTTCAAGGAGATGATATATTTTTCGTATTCAAATTTATTTCAATTTTAGAATACACTGAATAGCCAAAGTAGCAATGATAATTAGAATCTCGTTAGATTAAAATCTAACCAAATTCCAATTCGATAATAATAAATCGAATAAAAATTTGTTTGTGATGTTAATAAGAATTTGGTAAGGTTAATTAAGAATGATTTAGAATAATTAATACATATCTGTAAAATAGATGTTAAATGCACACAAAATATCTTGGAATAATATGGGTAAATTTACTGCAGATCTAAAGCAGCAAATTTATTATAATTTATATATAAATATTTTTTATCGTGCACTTATGGAAAGTCGATTGATAAAAATTCTCAATACAATCATTTGGTAATGTATAGATCTAATTAACCAATCCTTAATTCAGAAATGTATTAATTTAAAATTTTGCTTTTAGAGAATATTTAAAGATATCTCTTAAATTATTTGTTTGCCCTAATATTTATTATATCTTCACAGCAAGCGAACTGTTTGGTATTATTTTATGATATGTATTGATAATATTAAATTTAAACTTTTTCAAAAGAATAATTATTCATATTAATGATTTCATGGATTTTTATCAGAAGTTTGATCAACACTTTGAGATACTTTTACCTGCCTTAGCGAGAAAGGACGAGAATATGGATATAGTTCTCATAACACTTGTATCGAATTAAATAATTTTCTTTTTATAGTAAACTAATTAAATAGATTAGATTACTAACTATAAAATTTTTAAGCATACAAAGTCATGTTACATCTTTTTCGATATAATACTAAATGTTTTGTATAAAAAACCACACATAAAATTATGCATAAATTAAATAACAACACCCTTATAACTTATGTTTAATGTTTTACAAATATTCAACAATTTTAACAAATATATGCGATAATTATGGCAATTGTATGAATTTACTATTCTATATATATTTATGCGATATCGATCGACGAGGGATAAATTTATTAATAAAAGCCATGTTAGATTTAATAATAAGAAATGCGATTGAGTTTGAAATGAACTAAGGTGTCCCAAATTTCTTCAATTTTATATTTGGTGGCTGCAATGTGTATTCAAACATTATAAAAAATAGCAAATGAATTTTGTGAATCACGATCACATAATCGTGGATGGTATTGACGTTATTTTTTTTTAAAAATTTCTCATATAGCTGTATGTATTTTCAAAGAAATGTTTAGTCTAATGTTTTCAAAGTTCACGTTTCTAAAATTTAATATGTTTTGTGTACATTTATGATATACAGGTATTCTTAAAATGAATGGATCATATTTATTTAATTTGCTTTAATAAACTTTGGATTTATTAGCATGAGCAATATAAATTATATCTCAACATTGATGTAGTGAAAACAATATCACATTTAAAAATAAATATTTACGATATTGAATCTTCTGTAAGTTTAAATATTCCTACTATATTTGCTCATATATTAATCAGACTCTCCTTTATATATTTTTAAAATTAGCGTTTTTTTTTAATAAAAATTATTTGAATATATGTGATTCAGCGTAACGGTTTATACTTGTGGCATTTTTAATTCTTATATAATATAACCAACATAAAATTTCAGAAGCTTAATAGATTCTCTAGTAATAAGTGATATATCGTCATACTTCACAAGATACAATGAAAAATTTTATGATGTTATAAATCATTTACATAAAATCCATTAAGGGGGTTGTTCTTTTTTTATTTTTCTTTGTTTCGGTTTTGAGATTTTTTGATATTATGAAAGATAAAACCCTTAGAATCATTTCAAAAAAAAATCATCTCAATATCTATTTTTTTGACGAAGTTATAGATATATATCTCTATATGTATGATCCTCTGAAAGCGTTTTTTTATCGCTCCGCGAGCTGTTGTATGCCAGATTCCTCTTTTTCATTATAATACCTCATGCACATGACCTTTTTAATGTGTCAGCATCTTTGAACACCATGGTGTATTTAGTACATTAAATTAAATGGTGTATTCAGTACATTATATTAAAAACTTTAAATACGTTTTTCTCAAATTGACTTTTTTCAATGCGGTGCCACAAATTAAACAAGAACTACAAGTCGGATCGACTTGCATTTTTTTTTAATTTGTTCACCACTGCAATACCGAGTCCCCCTACCTCAAACAACTTGATAACATTACGCAAAAAAAATTTGCGAAGCTTCTCGCCCCAAAAAAAGGCCTTTTTTGACACTTTTTTTTAAAATAGCTGCCATTTTTTTCCTTCTTGCTTTTTTTTCTTTTATTTTGGTAGGGGGACTGGAAACAAACTTCTTCTTCAACGTAATTTCTTTTTTTTTTGTTTCGGGCGATGCGCAACGGTTTTATCTGTGGCACCGCAAAAGAGATCGATTTTGCAAGACCGACTTTGGCGCCCCCTGGTTAAAAAATGACGGTGCAAAAAGAAAAGAAGAAAATCGCGTAATATTCTATGATTTTGTAATTTTTGTTTAAAAAAAACCGCATGTCTCTATGATAAATACATTTCGAGAAAAAACAAAAACAAATACCTTGCATTTTTTGTGACGAAAAAAGAACAACCCCCTTAAGGACAAAATGTTCATTTCGTTATTAGCACGACGATATAACGCACAATAATTTATGATCCTTATTGGCTAAATGACTCATAACAAAATTTAATATATTTATATACAAATCTCCGATCATACAACAATCTATTATATATTTTAAATATAAGTTAGATCTCTTAAAACTACATTACCTAACTTTGTAAATTGATATGTTTATGATTTTTTTTATGATATGCAATATTTCTATATGCATCTATGAAATACTTATTTAATTATAAATATACATTGATATGTCTTGTGATATGTTTCTGATAAATTTTTAGTTTGATATGTATAATTTCGGTTGCATTTTCATATTCATGAAAATGGTTTTAACAATTAAGTCGAATATCTAAAGTACGTACAATTTATTAGTACATGTATTAAAATATTTAAAAAAAAAATATTGGCATATGATGAAATTCATATATTTAACTTTAATTATTGTTGTATGTATGATTTTATGTACAATGACAGTACAAAAAATATCATCTATAGTAAATTTTAATATGCATGAGAATGATCTTATTTCCGAATTATGCTAATAAAATAGAAATATTCACATTTTTGAAACAACTTAATTGTACTACCTCTAAGAAATTTTTTTTCGGAGCCTGCCGATTAGGGTAACATGTATGCACATGCTTGAACGTAGTTATATAATTTAATTTAAGTAAGTTTCAAAAGTATGTAGAATGAAATTCAAGCTTTAAAAATAATTAAATCGTCAAATTTTTTTTCACATGTACGTACTTCAGAATTCGTATTAAAATTACTTAATATTTACTCTTCCGGCCAATGCAAATCTTCTCCGACCAATTCGTAGAACCTCTGGTTATGTTCACTAAAATATTTCCTTAATTTAGTAATGACTGCTGGATCAACTCTAGGATGCCTTCTACCTTTCGTTTCCCTTAAACATCTGTCAGCGGTTTCATTCCTCAGACAATAAAAACCTTTAGTTTCATTGAAGTAAAAATTTCGTTTGTCTATCCTCGCCTCCAGTCCCAGAAAGCGTTCGATTTTCCTCAATTGGGGAAGCGGATCGTCTATTAGACGATCTCCGTTGACCACCAGGATTTGTTCCCTGGGAAACACGTCCAGCCATCTCTGAAGATGGGTGTGGTAGGCTGATACGGCGAGAGGACGGTAGTGCCAGTTTACAGTGCCATTAGGGTGCAGGGCAAGTTGCTCGAAGGATTTGGGTGGTGATGCTCCAATTGTTGCTGGGGAGATAAATGACAATTACATGAAATGTACAGATATCAATGTTGCAAAGCCGGCAAATGTTGCATTGATAAATATTTTGATGAACACAAAACATTTTTTAACACTTACAGTACGGTACCGATTTCAAAACATTCTACTGTACCAGCTGTAAACTTGATTAAATTGTGTATTTTATGCAATTTCTTTGATAAAAAATTGTGTTCATTGAAGAACATACATTTATAATATTAATTTATTTTTGATCATTTTATAAAGAATGATGACGTTCACAACAATTTCCAAAATGCATAGCTGGTTGATTATGACATGTTTTATAATAAAATACTATAATCACATCCATCTTCGGTGCGAATAGTAATTTCGTAAAATTTGTCTGTATGAATGTCTATTTGAAACTCATCTTCACTACTGCTTAATTCACAAAATTTATCAGTCGTTTTGCCATATTTAAAAGCGCTCGGTAGTTTAAATATTAAAAAAGATTAAAGCAAAAAAAGGCTAAAAATACTACTAAAATAACCTAAAATTATTTTCAAAATACAACAATGTTTATCACTGCTATATGTAATTTATTCAACTTTTCGATGCAAACTGAGTCATTGTTTATAAAATAGCCTGTGCCTCACATAGTATGTTTGTCCACTCAAGTGGACAGCCGTCACCAAAGAGTTAAACTCGCTTCTATCCAAAAAATAGAAAATAAACGAAAACTAAATTATTTCTTTAAAAAAAATTGTCAATTGAACCTGCATTCACGACAATATTATTTTAATATATTATAGTTTATTGAATTCAACGTACTTCATTCTTTTTCACTAACACGGTTGTTATTGAAATATTATTTTCATTGATATATGTTTTTGCGTTTTATGACATCCAAATAATAGAATAAAATAAAGAATGCAGTGGTTTAAATTTTGTAATAGTCAAATTGGTACTTGAAACGTGTGAAAAACGATTGAAAATATTTTTAAATACATAATTTAGTTTTCTTTCTATTTCTATTATCTGGATACTTGTTTAAATATATTTTGTTTTCATCAACATTAAATGGAGTATATTTTACTGATTAAATCCCATTCATTGCGCTTAATTGTATAGTGCTGTAATTGTAGATAATACTTATATAATGAAATAAAACACATAATTACCAAAATATAAGAAATTGTATAGTCATAGTAGTCACTAATAAAGGTCGACTAATATTATTCAATTTCATAAAGAAATTACTACAGTTATTTTGATAGGCACAAAATTAATATTGAAACACAATAACTTAATTAATTTAATGAATACTAGACGCAGTAGTTTTACAAGAATTTTATTAAAATGACATCATTCTAATGTTATGTTTCTTATTTTTACCAGGTGAAGCGGCTGTAGAATGACTTCGCAATTGCGTGTAATCTGAAATGGCTCTTGTCACTGGCTCTCGGACTATCAATAGAAGTTTCACACTGGCATTCATTGCTCGGACTTTTTCAGGTACCTATTCAAAATATTATCTTTACATAACTTATATATATATATATATATATGTCTATTGAAAATCTTCGGTATAACATTGTTGGATGTAAAGGGCATTAGCAACAGTTGATTTAATTTAAACTCTGTTGCACCTTAATAACGAAAACACAAACCGCCCATTAACACTTCCATATAATCGTGACGTGACAAATATCCTTTCTCTTGTGATAAATTACAGTCACACCAGGGAATCATTAAAACTTCCTTCAACAAGTATTTGTTTTGAGTAGTTGCATAATTACTCGTTTGAAATATGAACACTTTTAATTTAGGCGTGGGATGCAAAACGAGTCCATTATAATAATGGTTAATGAATTTTAACATTAATTAAATCATATCATTTTCTGTTATGAGTTAAATTGATAATTAACGTTTACGTATGTATGGCTTCTGTTTCGTGAATTACATTGTTTCTGAATATCTACCTCTGGTGTTACGAAGTAACTAGGACTTTTTTCTATCGTGACTTGTCCTCGAAACGAATGCGGCATCCTTCTTCTATACCAGTCCAAACCTCGACTATAGTTTTCGTCCCGATCGAAAAAATGTACTTCTCCTGCTGCTTTTTGTATGGCTGGATGTAAATGCAGCATCTCTAGTAATGCCCTGGTGCCGCACTTCCGGACGCCTATGATCAGCGCTTGTGGAAGACGGCGCATGGTTCGTGGAAATCGCATGGCGGCGGACTGATGTTGAACAACCATAGGATGGTTGTAATAGATTGTGTTTTGTTGGTCTGGTTGAGCGGATAGTGTCATCCTGGATTCTCCTACCGCCTGAAATAAATTTTTAAATATTATATTGAGGCGGTATTCTAGAGTTAAAAAAAATCAATTTTTTTATTTCATATTTTCAAAGTTTAACTATCTAAGAATATTGGTACGAGAAGGTTTTTGAAAATTTGAATTATTTTCGGAGATATAGGCATTTTACTGACTCGGTCTCCATACTGGTTTGGCTTTAAATGCGTTTTTCTCAGAACAGACTTTTTCAGTACTGTTGACACGATTTCTAGAGTTTTAATCGACCAATTCACTTGCAATGTTCAGAGAGTCTTGTTTATAGACCTATCTATAGCCCGAACTAGGATTATCCCCAAATTCTAATTTTTACTATTTTTAAAAAATTCGAGAAACTCAAAAAAACAGTAAAAAAACACTTTTTTTTCAAACAGTCGCCAATTTGTAAAAAAAGTTTTTTTACTCATCGCTAGTTCGGGCGATTGCGACATCATTGTAGATTATTAATCTTTTATTTTTTGCATTTCCGATGGCTAGGAGGGCTAAAATCATGTCAAGACTGAGGTGCCAATTTTTTGAGACTTCATCAGCTGCCAGTTTTTACAATTTTCAACTTTTTTATTTTTTAATTTTTGTTTTGTATTTTAAAAATATTAATAAACATGTGGTAAAAAATGGATAGTCAACATTCATTGCTTTCTTTTACGACACTTTAAAAATGACCTAAAATTCATCGCTCTACACTAGAATACCCCCTTAACTAACCACGGAATTTTGTAATATACTTCTAAAATATCAATTCTTGAAGTAATTGCTTAAATTTTTATACCTATTAGGATGACAAGTAAATTTTGAAGAATATAATATGTGTTTTAGAAAAGTGTAATCTTCTGATCAATGTTTGTAATTTTGAGATTGACACAATTTCATATTAAATTCTTTTTCAATCTTGCTCTGGTAGTGTTGTGGTGTAGTTTACTGACAAGCGAATTTGGATAATCCTTTATGCGGCTTTTGTATTTGTTTGAATATTTCCGAATTTCATCGCTTATATTTCGTTGACCTTGGATTTTTTATAGGTAACCAATTGGTACATACTTTAGGACATTCAAAAAAAAAAATTTTTTTTTGACCTCATTGATATTAACATTGTTGTTTAATGCAATTCTGAGAAAATTGATTTTTATACTATGTGATATATTTCATTTTAAAACCAACAAATATTTTCGGAGCATTCTAATTCAATTAATTTCAAGAATTCTAGTTTCGCTATCTATGGATGAGGATTACTATAGCCCATTGTTCATGTTTCTTGGATACCCAGTACCCACTATCAATTATATTCTGAGCAACATCTTACTTAGGGAGATTATACATTCTAATTGTTTATGACACTTGACTATACCCTGCAGCTGCATCTTAAACAGCAAACGCAAACTTTGAACAATTGTGGGCATGATGGATATATCAAACTTACATTTTGATTGGCTTGTTAGCATACGTGCATCAGAAAATTGACGTATAGGAAATATAGGAGATTTTAATTTTTTGAATATTTTAACCCTTTTCACTTGCGAATTGCAAAATCTATATGAATTTTAATTTTAACGTGGCATCCGAGTAGAAAGGGTTAATCTATAAGTTAACTTTTGAGTTTGTAGAAAACTGATTCAGTTTCAGAGAAATTTATACGTATTTTTTTCGAGTGATGTGCTCGTCAATCAATCAATCAATTATAATCATGTTGTTTGTGATCTGAAAAACATGACCGAGTTTTACATTTTCATACATCACAATGCAATTATTTTGCTGCTGGTTTTTTGTGTGATACGCCGTCATTTTCTAAAGCATGTTCTAATATATATATATATATATATATATATATATATATATATATATATATAAATCGATAAATCGAAAATATTGTAAAAGGTCTGTCAATAATTATTTTATTGAAAATGCTATAAATAATTGCTGAGCATTTTCTTAAATTTATTATTTTATTTATAATGATGGAAACTAATTTCATTCAAACGACTTCCTATTATATTTTATTTTGAAATATATTTAAATATAATTTACTTTATTGAAATTTTGTTTTCCTATTTTTGATAGCTTGTTCAATACATATTTGATATTTTTTATAGTAAACTTTGGGTTACAAATTTTTATGTCAATTAACCAGTTAACTGTGGAGCGCTAAATAAATTTGTGTTGCCAGAATCGAGACAAAACGTCCTTTTAAGATAAAATGTAACTATTCATGAAAACTTACACTTACAATTATTGATTTTATTTCTGCATAACCTCTGAATATTCTAAATATCTCCAAAGTTGATAACATCAATGGATAAAGTTGCAAAAATTACAAATACAACATTTTTCCACTTTTCTACGACAAGTATTTTCGTCAATCACAGTTGCCTGGTTAAAATACAGAATATTTATTATTTTAATTCGATATCTCTGTATCCTTTCCACTGACCTGTAAGCTGTAAACTGCACTATCGTAGAGTACGTGAAATGTTAGGAAGAGCGAGATGAGGGTGATCGATAGCAGGGCCGCCGTGACACGCGGCCTGGACACATTTCCACGTCCGTGCTGGTAGTGAGAATGATGTCCTGGTAGATGGTTGTTTTGTCTTCTGAACAACGGTTCGCCGTCCGGCCCTGCCGCGTAGACAGTTGCGCCGCCGTGGCGCATTGGGGAGAAGGGACACCATCTGGGAAATAAATAATATTTATTAAATGACTGATCTTTCATCAATGTAGCACTTTGTAGCCTATCTTTTGGCAAATCGTTTTATAATGGCTATATGTTTAAGATTAATTATTACTAGTAAGGGGCGTTCATTAATCACGCGAGCGAGTTTTTAATGATTTTTGGATCCCCCCTTCCTCTTGGTGACACATGGTGATATTCAAAATTAATCCCCCTGCCCCCAACAAACATCACATGTATTTTAGTTGCGTGATAAAACTGTAAAATTTTTGTATTTTTTTTTGAAAATGTTTGAATTTTTTTCTTCTAAAAAATTCATTAAAAATAAATACACGTAATATCTTTTTATACACTTTCGTCCCTCACGTGATATTTCGTGATTTTTTGTCAATCCCCCCACTACTTAAAACCTCCACGTGATTAATGGACGCCCCCCAATCTGTTTGTATTTTAAAATTATCTTATTTCTTTGGGCGCTAACTTTAAAATATGTATGTTTCTGTGAGGGGCGGTCCAAGAATTTTCAGGCTGCAATTTGCCATTTGTTCTTTGGCGCTCCTTTTTTTCTATTTTTGTAAACTGTTTTTACAGTTTGTCATTGAAATTATATGACAACTTAGGTGTGATAGCGTCTCCTCAACGTAGCGCCCGCAATTTTTGCATGCAATAATGTGGTAAATAACAAAATAAAAACTAAATTTTCATAATTCATAAAAACTCGAAAACATTTTGAAATAGGAAAATTTGTCGACGTTGCAAGTCGTTCTGAATCGAATGAGACCAATTTTCGAAAATGTGAGTGTGTCTTTTGTGAGCCAATTTTTGACTTTTGGTTCACTTCTTCTAAACGTCTAGCCAATTTTTGACTTTTTGTTGACCTTTTCTATACGCCTGGACCGATTTTAAAATTTAAAAACTATTAGATGTAACTCGATAAGAACTAGCTGCTATTGGCCAGGTTTCTTTGTAATTAGCAAAAAAGTGTAAAATTTTTGTCCCCTTTCTAGCTCAAAATTTTAAACCGATATTAAAAATTCAATATCTGTTCGAAAGATATTGCTTGTATATCAGTTTTGCGCTGCATTGGCCAGGTTTCTTTGTAATTAGCAAAAAAGTGTAAAATTTTTGTTACCTTTCTAGCTCAAAATTTTAAACCGATATTAAAAATTCATTATCTGTTCGAAAGATATTGCTTGGGAATTGCATTGCATAGTTTTTAGTAAAAATAGGCCGGGCTGTTTCTTTGTAATTAATTGTGAAACATTTATTTTTGACGGTTGTGTTTAAACTTTATATACCGATACATTTTGTTGTCTACAATAACATACTAAAATATTAGAGGCCTACGATAAGCTGTTAAATTATAAAAAAATATCCAAGTTTATAATTTCGCCGCGAGCTTGGGTCATTCTAATCAGAATCTATCCCGAAGCATATCTATCGTTGATAGGTTAATTAATAATATCATTTTTAAAACACAAAATGAATGAAATAAAAATTGATAATTCAATTTATACAGTAACTATCAGATATTATACTTTTACTATTATAAGTATGTTTGAAAGACAAAATGAACAGTTAAATATTTATTTTATCTAAATAGCTGAAACTCAATTCATGTCCATTCTAGTAGCCTTTACGCAAAATGCTTCTTACGACTGATCTTGAACAATCATAGTGTGGTTAGTTGTAATAGTTTAGAAATTTTGATCAACGTTTGAAAAATACTATTTCAAAACAATATTTATAATGATTTGATAACCAAATTTATATTCCACTTTTTTATTCTTCTGCTAAAATTCCTAAAGCTATTATGTAACTTTCACCCCATCGGTGTATCTAATAGCAAACAATTTATTATTTGAATATTGCGCAATGTGCAATTCACCTTGCAATTCTACTGAAAATCGTAAAATAAACGACTCAAATAATGAATACTTCGACGCCCACGCCAAGAACTGGCTATAAATAATGATAAATAATATGCAATTACAAGTGCAAGGGACACCGTTTTCGCGTGGTTGTTAAGCATCATGCCATTACCCATCATTAAAAATGCCAATTGGATTTTAAATTGCACAGTATAAAAGAATTTAAAATGAAATATTAATTGTAATAGAATGTTAAAAATAGAGATAAATATAAAAATTGCGATGCTAGGAGTAAGGTAGAGCGGGGCACAAAGATCCAATTTGACTTCGAGCACCAAACCAATTTTATTACAATAAATAACATATATCAAATAAACGCCTGTCTGACTATATTTAGTAAAACTCTCAGCTAATTTGTCATTGTAGAAATGTTATTTTTCTGTTTTTTTTTTAATTTGTCACCTGGTTCTTTTTTCTCTATAGGCAGGGTAAAATGGGGCGGCCAAAGGGCAAACAGGTCCAATGTCTTATTTTTAATTGAAGGAATTTTACGAAATAATAACACATTATTCAATCAATGCAAAATGTAAATTTTATGCGCACAACTTTCACGGAAATAACCATGTATATAACCTTGATCTGGTATTGTGCTAGAAATATTCATCAGCTGTGTTGGAATAACTATTTATTTAATTTATCTTTTGTAAATTTGTTTTTTAACTTAACTTACATTTTTATTTACTATTTTTTATTGCACACACCTTTGCTTGGGTAAAGGCTCAAATAGCACTTTTTACCCCGTATAAAAAAAATTTGTTGAATCTAATTTATATATCAGGTCTCTTAAACTAAACAAGAGTGCTCACAACTGAAAAAAAGTAACAGAAGAAAATACTTTTGTTATGGATTTTCTAACATGTCGTAAGAATGAAAGTGGTGGCTAATTATACATTTTTGTTTTCTACTTTCAAATATAGTTGTAAAATATTCGTAACTTTTCTTGTTTTTGATATATCGGTGTCCGACCTTTTTACCCTCATTAAGCTTTGCTTTACCCTGTTGATGATAATAATTCACATATTTTATGTTGAATCAATAGATTTCAATATTTAATTTTAATTCGTGCGATAATTATGTCAAGTTTTGCTGCAAATAAACAAATTCATAGGTTTAATTAAAAGTTATATGATTTTCTAGTGAAACAACAAAGTTTTGGCTATAGACTTTTCGACAAAACACTATTGATACAAGCTTTAGCTATTTATAACATGTTTAATATTTATTTGAAGCATTAGCAATTCAGTTAACACTAAAATAATAAATTAATATTTTATCTAGTACTAAACATAAAATAATCCATATTTACTTTTCGTTATGAATATGTTAAACCATATTGCAAAATAGTTCATATATAAACTGGATAATGTTTGCGCGACCGCCTATACGGTTATGGCAAAATTATTTTTACGGCTTTGGCCTTCAGGCAAACCATGATTTTGATGATTTGGCAATAAAGATTATGCGGATAAATTATTTTCATATTGTTATATGTTTTCATATATCTATTCATCGCTCAACCATTGTGCAAACATGACTGTTATAATTACCAAATTCATCCTGTGTACATATAGGTACACAATATCCACACATAATCGAAGTGCCTTTGTTATTTAGTAATATGTATATTAAAAATATAGACGCTTATACATTTATAATATTAATTTTTGAACTTTACTTTTATGGTTTAAAATCTATTGAACTGATTAATCGAAAAATACGTTTGAAAATATTGAGTCCAAATCTAAATTTTTACTTCCCGAAGATAAGTTTATGTTTTCATCAAAAAATTCGATTTGATAATTTTTTGTTTTATCGACGTTTCAAGCCATTTTGAATCGAATGAAACCAAATTTGGAAAAAGTGTGTGTGTGTATGTGTGAACAAATTTTTTGCCGTAAACCGACGTTTTCTCAAAAACGGCTGGACCGATTGCAAAAATTTAAAAGCCATTCGATGTATCTCGACGCGAACTATTGTTTGTCAGTTTTGTGCGACGATCGGCCAAGCCTTATAAATAGCAGAAAAGTGAAACATTTTTCGTCTACGTTTTAGCCCGCAATTCTGAATCGTGCTGATTAGTTTTTGGTAGAGATCGGCCGGGCCGTTTTCTTGTCATAATATGTCAAAATTTTTTTTTTCGACGATTTTTGTTATTATTTTTTTGACGGTAGATACCATAGTCTTATAGATAATACTAAAATATTACGGCCCTACGACAACTCGTTTAGTTTTAAAAATTCGTCAAAGTTTTTCAATAATTAGTATCGTTTTTTTGGCATTTGTCAAAATTAGACCTTTGATCGACGTTTTCTCAAAAACGCTTGAACCGATTTCAGAAATTTAAAAGCCATTTGATGTATCTCAATGAGGAATATCGTTCGTCAGTTTTGTGCGACAATCTGCCAAGCCGTTTCTTTGTAATTTGGAAAAAAGTGGTAAACCTTTCGTCCACATTTAAGCTCATACTACCGAATCGATTTTGAAAAATCAATAACTGTTCGAAAGATATTAGTTGGGAATGATACTGATTAGTTTTAGGGGAAAATCTACCGAACCGTTTTCTTGTAATTAACTGTTTAAAAAGAAATTTAAGCCGATTTTCATAGAACTTTTTTGGCGATATATATCATGGTCTTATAGAACTTACTGAAATATTACGGCCTTAGACAAGTAATTTAATTTTAAAAAATTATCAAAGTTTGAGAAAATGTGTAGTCTTTTGACGTTTGTTAAAATTGTAATTAGACGATTTACTTGGTATAACAATAGAGTACTTAGTCTTAATGAACATACTAAATCTTTAAAGTCTTACGGAAACTGTTTCAATTATAAAAATTGTTTATTTTTAAAAATTTGCTTTTAGAAAATACTCCGAGTTAACGTGTTCGTTCTCGTTTTCATTTATGTGTAATAAATCCACTCAAAATACTTACTTTTAATCACTCATAAATTAATTTATTTTTCATTGATTATTTAAACATATCGGGAAGTTCATGTACCTTGCCTCAAGGCAAAATACCAATACCAACTACTTAAACATTGTGGTCATCAATCAAATGATTATATATTGTACATCACATAATATATATATATATATATATATATATATATATATATATATATATATATATATATAGTTAGTTTTCTGTAAAGTTTCTATCACTTCGGACTCAACAGTAAGCCCTTGACATTTTTAGAAAAATGTAAAAATACCTATTAAAAAATACATACGGCATATAAATAAAGATTTGATTAACGATACAGATTTTTGTTTAGTAATTTAATTTTCCTAAATAATTATTTTCTGAAGTTTGAACCAATTTGAAAACCTTTCCCTATATACAGGGTGTCCCAGACTTTGACGTCAATTGAACCTAACTGTCCTGAAAAAAATTAGAAATTCAATTATCTCACATTGCTTGAAACATGAGAGCTTTTATGACCATTTTTTGTTCATTATGGTTAACTTAATTAACTTAATTAATTTTGTTCATTCAAACGTTGAAACAGCCCCCTTGAATAACATTTTTAGGACCACAGTAAAAAAATACCATAATTGCTTCGAGTTTTAAAGAATTAAGACTTTTTGCTGAAACTATGAATTTTTGGAATCGGTCCACTTTGAGATGCCCTCCTTTAAAAAAAAGTACTATAATGTGTTGGCAAGTTCCGTCCAAAGTTGGCGCATGTAATCAGTATTTTAAAATGGTAAATGATAATTTTATAATGAAAGTAGGATGGCCATCTAGAGCAACTTACTCACCTTTTTTTTTTTTTTGAAATTGATATTATAGATAAAATATATTAAATTGAAAATTAAAGAAAAAACTAAAATTGGATAATTTGAATAAAACCAAAAACTAAACCTGTCATTTCTACATCAATGGCCTGCTTAAACTAGTTAAATCTCAAAGTTTCTAAAATTTTCTCCAACTATAAGTAAATAGTTTCCAGCTCTCTGCTTACCCACCGGGATGTATACCAAACATCGTGTTTATTTAATTTCTATCACAAGCAGGTTTGTTTAGATATACCCATCATCATTGCCTAAGAGCTGTGTGCTCAGGCCGCGTATTATAGACACACAGAGAATTGGCTTAAGGACTGACTATAGGCGCAGCCGAATAATTGGGCGTCGTGGGGTATGAGATTGCGTACAAAGCACAAAGTAATAGACTCTAACAAGTCGACATGTGCACAAATCGGAACATGGAGCCAGGTCCGCCTTTAATAAAAGACAAATACAAAAAAAATTATATATTTAGTTTTTGATAAATAAAACATAAGATGTTGTGAATGGCATTGTGATGCGACTACCAGCTTGACAAATATTATTGAAATTTCAGTATTCAAAGCAGAATAAGATTAATAATAATTAGTCGTGCCTTAAGGCAAATTGTTGGAACTTTCCTTACCAGAATTTAATATTCAAGCAAAAAATCATTAATCAATAAATATTGATAATTATAATTACTTTATATTTATTCATTCATATAATCTACAGTGACGATGTTAAACGCTCAAAACACTTAAAAATATTTACATTAAGAAGAGATGCCGAATGAATCCATCTGAGGATATATTTCTTACGATTACAATAACGCATATGAAATATATACTTTTTTAAACTCAATTGTAAATTTAAAATGTATATTTAAATTATAATTTTTTTTTGAAAAAAAAAAATAAACCGTATAAGTGAACTTTAAACATTAAAACTTTTGGTTTGTATCTCAAAATTTTAA